ATTATTTATTTTTTTCAGAAATTAATCAGAAGATAAAACTTTATTCAGGTTTTTACTAAAATATATAAATTTTCAAATCTTTAAACTTTTCGCTTGGTAAACCGGTTGACAACTGCAGTTTTTTAATATTTTGAGTTGTTAGTAGCCGGCCTGTAAAAAGTCGACCAACTGTGAGACGGACTCGCGCATGAAGGTTTCCGTACCATCGTAAAACACGTTTCCAGTAGGGGAGCACCTTTAATCTTTAATTGTTATTATTTGTTCTTATAGTGGCAACAGAAATACACATTCTGTGAAAATTTCCATTGTCTACCTATTATCGATCATGAGATACAGCCCGTTGACAGACAGATGGATAGATATCAGAGGCTTAGTAATAGTATCCCATTGGTTACCCTTTGGAACCCTAAAAATGCTGCTGTTCAGCTCCTGTTTCAGTTTTCCTCTGTCGCCTCTCACGACACCCATGTGACAATATGGGATAGTGGATATTCTTACACTGTCACTAAACGATAGTAAATAATGTGATAAATATATTAAATTATTAATTTAAATCATATATTAAACTAATAATAGCAGAGAGGAGTAATGATTTGAGATGAAATTAATTAAACATACAAAAAAATTTATAAGTGATGGCTCAGTAGCACAGTAGGTAAGCATTTGGTGGCGGTATTGTAAGGCTGAGAGTTGGAATACCGCATGGAGCAAGTGACATAACTATTATAAATAGTTGATCCAGGTCTAAATGTTTGTTCATATGCAATATATGCATGTATAAAAACATCTGCATGAGAGAGGAGAAAATCATAGTATTTTTTTTTACAAATAGAAAGGAAGGAAATATTAGCATTAAGAGGAAATGACATTTCTTAGAGAAAGAAGAACTCACCCTAAATATATAAATATATAATGATAATAGTAATTTTACAGGCATTATAATAAAGACAACTATAAATGTCATACCTGAGGCTCAGGTACATTAGGATGTCTATGCCGTCTTGCCACTCCAACTAAATTATCATAATATGTGAAATTAACAGCTTTACCACAGTCCAAATACTCATCATCAGTCTCCCCGTTGCCTTCTGTTGGATTGGTTTCTTCTCCATTTACAAAAGCAGGTCTAAAATATTTCTAACACATTTAATGTGAAAGAGAAATGTACATCAACAGATTTACTTTCAATTCATTTCTTAGTTATTTTTATGAGATTTGAATTTGAAACACTGGCAAGATTTACTCAGTTGGAGCATCCACAATATCATTTTTATAAAAAATATTTTAATGCACTCCAAGTTTCGAACTTAAAAATATGAACCTAACATAATTATTAGGTATGCAAATTTACAAATGGTACCACTTTAAAATTCATTATGAATAATGTATGAAGATAGATAGATATTCTTATTGAATTTCTTGAAATAAATGTTTTATGTTATTTTATTATATTTTAATATATTTTAATAGGGATAACGACGACACCTCCATTCTGTGATACATTATTTTCTTATAGAATTTCTTACATAGAGTCAATAATAATAGAGGTTTTTTCAAAACCAGTGGCTATCCACTTTTTACAATTTAGCAAGAATCAGAAGTGAAAAGAAATTACTAACAAAAGATACAGACACAATAAACTCTTGGTACGTGGTAGAGCCATGCTGCAGCTATATTTCTGGTATAGTTGTAACACGAATGGGTTGGCTCGACCGGGGACGGACCACGCTCTTACAGAATAGCAGCTTAATGCTGCTGTGTTTCGTATGGTGAGTGTAGAGAACCGGAGACCTTTTTTACTGGAAATGAGGCATTCCATCTTAGTCCTCACAGGTGACAACGCATCTGTATTTTGATTTGTAATCGAGAATAAATGTAGATGTCTATGGGCCACAGCAACCACTTACCATCAGGCAGACTGCGTGCTTGTTTGTCACCCTTATCCTATAAAAAAAAACTCATTAATGATTAAAGACTATACCTATTTGAATTAGTTTGTCATGGCTGACTGATAGCATGCAAATAAACCCCTGAGATTAATAGGAGCCAGTTATTTCAATATTACAGGAAGATACTTCAACTTTAAACGAAGAGATTCGCAATATGGGAGGTTTGAAAGATGACCTTATCACAAAAATTGATAAGGGCGTGCTTCGATGGTTTGGGCACGTTGAGCGAATGAGTGAAGACCGAATGGTGAAGAAAATATATAGCGCGAAAGTTAATATTAAAAGGTGTCGAGGTAGACCGAGACTAACTTTCGAAGACCATGTGAGCAAATTGCTCCAAGAGGGGAGGGTCAAGAGTACTCGGATACCTAGACGTGCATGTATGAAGAAGATAATGAATCTGAAAGAAGCAAAAGAGGTATGTAAGGATCGTGACACTTGGCGATCTGTTCTCTCTGGCTACCCCGTCAGGAATTGTGCATGAAGATAAATAAAGTTAAGTACTTCAACTTTATTTATATGTATAGATATATAGATTAGTAATGACTAATCATAAGTGAGAAAAAAGAACTAATAAAAGATACAGTCACAGTAAACTCATTAAAGATCAAAAACTATACCTATTTGAATTAGTTTGTCATGGCTGACTGATGGCATGCAAATAACTCCCTGAGCTAAATAGAAGCCAGTTATTTGAATATTACAGACAGATACTTTAATTTTATTTATATGTATAGATGTATAGATTAGTAATGACTTTGAACATGATTTTCTCATGATGTAAGCAGTTTTTTATAATTATATAAATAGGTAGAGTAAAAAATATTTCAAAAGGAAAAATATATTTAAATTATCAAAATCAATACTAAACCTTTATCAATTCATTTCAGTAACAACAGTTTTCTGTTGATAACACTAAATGTTAACTCTGCAGTAAATACCAACAAATTACAATATAAATATTTTTCAAAGAGAATATAATGACAAACCAGCTAATAGTCTGTAATCAATAAAGGATACAGTTGCATTGACAACTCTTAGAAATAATGGAATGATAACTCTGGAATACCTTATAGCTTAAATTACTAATGGATACCCTATTGCTAGGCATAAAAAATAGATAAGATAATGGAACTTATCCATATGGACTCCTAGAGAGTAAAAGAAGCCTTACCAGCTATTAATAAATAATTATGGTATTCCTTCTTATTTTAGCGCACCCTACTCAATAATCTTTCTCTTATTTATATTTATTCTTCTTCTGGGTTGTCTGAAAGAGTTAGAGAGAATACCTTTTTTTTATAATCTTTCCCTGGTGTATCGTAAAGAGTAATGTATTGTAATACACTGATATACAACTTGGCCAAAACAATTAGGCGTGCAACAAAAAGGCTCATGACAGGAATGCGGTTTCTGCACCCACAACCTGCCTCTATCCCAGCACTTCCCCTTGTGACCAATCATTATTCCGGTGTTCCTTCCATAGTTCTAATAATGTCTTAGCTATCATGCGCTTCATTGATTTGGTTACGTAGTACATGATAAATTAACCTATAAAATATGCTACACATAATAACAATATTTTACCTTTGTTGCTCATATGGCTGGCAGTCTGTGCAGAACATATCAAAGCCATGCTTAGTCCAAGTATTACCATAATACACTGTTGATGTAATGATGTTGAATACAGCATCTTCTTCACTTACTTTAGATTTTTCATTCTCATCCTAAAATTATGTTAAATAATTTTTATTTTATTTTATGTAAGCTTTGCAAAATAACATTTTAAAATGAATGCAGAGAAGTATAGTTTACACTAGTACTGTTACTTACTAAAATATAAAATTATCCTGAACTAAAACTATTTATATTTTTAAATATGTTGGCTTTGAGGACAACATATATCAAGGCTAACCAGTTAAGTAACCAAGTCCTATGAAGGGTCTTATGTACAGCAGGGGATTTTCTCCATATGGTAACAATAGTTATATAAAAGCAAATACATAAAATAACACTAACCTGAGACAATGTTTTACCATCTACAATTAGTCCTTCGTCAACATCCAATTTCCAAATATTAGAGGTGCGAGAATTAGTAGCTATAATTTGAAAGGAAAATATGTATAAAACCAAACAAGTCAAATAACACGAAATCCCCATTTTGCCTATTTAAAGTAAAAGTAAACATGTAAATTGTTTATCAGGTAATAAATTAATATAACTGATACACAAAATTAAAATAATTAAGCCACGATCGTTTATAATTTTAATCACAAGCGATATGAACTTCTCTCTTTCAGTATTTTGACATAATATAAATACCTACATATCCTCAACCCGTTTTTTTTTTGGAGTTTATGGCCTGGTATCTAGACCTTTAGGCCAATCCTCAAACCTCACTGTCTGCAGTATTGCCATTTGCCAAATCGATTTTAAAGGAAGTTATGTCTAGCTTGCTACATATATATTTATCTATGGTTATGTCCATCACCGTAAGGCCTGTCATCCACGACACTACTTAAAAGTAACCAGTTACAAACTCAAATATACATTATTAAGAACTATAATAATAATAATAAAAAACGAAAACTAGAAACTTAATTATCATAATATAGTCCTAATAAAATTATTAATAAGTTGCTAGAATGTCACAGCCCTTGTATTTTTTCGGACCGTACACGAACCTACCAATCACATACTAGTCTGTAACGCGTCACTCGCGAACTCGACGTGCTGAACTATATATCTGCCGAATATTGCCAGAAAACTGTGTTCTATATCTTAAATTACTGGGCTAGTTTAGATATATCTATTTGCAACGTTTTTGAGTCGATTTTGGTAATTTTTAAAATTTTAATTTTCATATAGACGTTTATTATACTATTTTTCGAGTAGTTCAAAATTTTAGATTTTCATCTCGTTTTCGTTTTAGTTAGGTCCGTACAGCTCCACAACTGACTTCCCAGCCAAAATCTGAAACAAAAACACGTGAATTAGCGAACATTTGCTTCGACGGAGGACTTTAATAAAAGGAGCGAAAAACCAGCACCCATGACTGGAAAAGACAAAGGATCAACATCTTTAGTAAGGAAAAGTGCCAGTGAACTAGAATCACGTCTTGTTGCTACTCCAAAAAATATTATAGCTGCATTGCCGACAAAACACATTACAAAAATTGCCCCTGCAAATGTAGGTGACGACAACCAAGTCGATAAAGAAACGACCAAGTACTCAAATAGAGCACAAGAGGCAAAAGCACACTTGGTTAGAATATGTTCACGTAACTTAAAGACAGAAATAAAAGACGGAATAATAGAAGCGGCAGACAAATTATATGATATGACAAAAAATGTGGAACAAGGAAAAGGCTATATTATAGAAACAGAAAAGTCAGGTAAAGGAAGGAGCCAAGAATTAGAGCACGAACTAATAAGGAAAATAGAAGAACATAGCAAACTCCTCGCAGGATGCAAGACAGAGACCTAACAGTTAAGTGAAGAGGTGAAAAGCCATAGGGAAGAGCTCATCACCTATGCAAGTGTTGCAGCAAATCAGACCAAGAGGCAGACCCTGGAGCCTATTGCTCCCAATCTAAAAAGACCGCTCAAATGCACTCTATCATAGTTACGTCAGGCGATATAAATGATACCAGTGGTGAAGTTCTTGAAAAGATAAGAGTGGCGGTGGATGCAAAAAAGAGCGGGTTAAGGATAGAGAAAGTGAGAAAGGCTAGAGACCAAAAGGTAATCGTGGGTTGTGGCGCCAGGGAGGAAATGAAAAAGGTAGCGAACCGACTTAAAGCCAGTGATACGGGCTTTTCAGTCGAGGTGGCTAAAAACAAAGGCCCACTGGTCATACTGAGGGACGTACTACTGATCAATATCGACGAGGACATAATCACTGCTATTAGAAACCAGAACAAGAACTTGCTGGAAACCCTGCATAGCGAGGAGGTAAGATTGGTAATGCGATACCGAAAAAAGACCAGGAACCCCCACACAAACCATGTGATCCTGCTGATCTCCCCAACGGCATGGAAATGACTGGTTGAGGTGGGCCATGTGCGTGGTGGTGACCGACCATTCACCACTGGTACAATGCTTCAAGTGCCTCGCATGTGGGCATGGGAAAAGACACTGCAAGGAGGCAGAGGACATATGTTCTCATTGCGGTGGACCTCACTTGAAGAGCTCATGTACTGCTTTTTTGGCCGGGGAAGTGCCCTCCTGTAGCAACTGACACAAAACGAAGATGGATCGCAAAGACCAGAACGCTTTTGACAACGAGTGCCAAATACGCAGAAGATGGGATGCAATTGCCAGAACCAGCTTGGCATATTGCTAAAGTGGAGTCCTGAAATAACGGCACAGAGACAGGTAGTCAGTTCGCGGTAGAAATAAGAAACATTTTGGTGGCACAAGCAAACCTAAAGAGGAAAGAGTTCGCAACGAGCGAATGAATGCTCGAAGCGAGCAAGTATGAGCTTTGCTTTAATTCAGGAACCATACGTGGGGGGATTCGGATATATGAGAGACTATTACAGAGCGCTCAGAGAGGAGATGGAGAGGTGAAAGCGGCAATAGCCATTTTTGACAATAACATCACTGTTACCCAGTGTCCGGCTCTCACCACGAACAAAATCGTGGCGGTTTTTTTAATATAGTATAGGGTGACAAACGAGCACACAGTCCACCTGATGGTAAGTGGCTGCTGTGGCCCATAGACATCTACATTTATCCTCGTTTGCGAATCAGCCGGTTGAGCCGACGTGCTACAACTATACTACTAATATAGCTGCAGCATGGCTCTACTACGTAAAATGCTAATGAACACCCTGGAAATAGGACTGATTTCCCTGTACCTGGAACCGGATTCACCCATCGAACCTTACATCAACTAACTTAAAAAGATAGTAAGATAGACGTGGAGAAGCTCTAGCAGGTGTTCTGAATGAACTCGGCTTACACGTACTAAGCGAGGGAGATGTGCCAACATTTGACACAATTAGAGGCGGCAAAAGATTCAATAGTCACGTCGACATTACAGCGTGCGCTGAAAATCTTTTAAAATTGGTAGATGACTGGAAGGTACCCGAGGGCAAAAGTTCGGACCACAGCACAATATTATTCAAACTTAAAAGTAAATATTTTAGACATAACAATAAAACGGACTACAAAGGGTATATAATAGTAAAAAGGCTAAATGGAGTAAGTTTTGTGAGAAACTAACTCAATTCTTGACCGATAAAAACATGACCAAAACAGAAATTGATAATATAAGACATAGTAAAAATTTCGAAAATCATTTATAAAAATATTTAGAAGTAATAAAAGAAGTATGTGAATCTACCATTCCAAAAATGAAAAATCAAAATAAACTTACCTTGCCGTGGTGGAATGATGAGCTTGTTTTGCTTAAGAAGGACGTCACTACAAAAAAGCGCCGTATAAGATGTGCTGCTCCCGTACGAAAAGACGACGACGTTGCGGCTAAACGTAGTGATTATTTTCTCTTTGGTTGCTTCGTATTTTGAAGCGAAAAATATATACCAATATGAAGCAAAAATGCTCAGGTAAAAAGTTGGAAAGAGTTCTGTGGTAGACAGGACATGGAAGGGTTATGGGACGGGTTATCGGCAGAACTACAAAAATGCACGAAGATCCGCCTCTTTTAGAGGGCGGAAAAATACTCGATAACATCGAATCGTCAAAGATGTTGGCCGAGACCTTTCATCCAAAAGACCAAGTTGAGGTTTATAATGCAGAACACCAGCATATCAGGGAGTTAGCAGAAAAAGTCAATGAAGTGATACAAGATAATTGTTGTGACCCACCATTTACAGTCGCAAACCTAAAACACGCAACCAACAGCTTCAACCCGAAAAAGGTTTCGGGTGGAGACGGATTTACGGCTGATATTTGCCGACATGCTATTCTCCATAACACAGAGGCTTACCTGAGCCTAGCTAACAAGTGTTTATAGTTAGGACACTTTCCCACAGTGTGGAAAAAAGCGGTAGCAGTAGTTTTGAGAACACCAGGGAAAGAAGACTATACGCACCCCAAAGCTTATAGACCGATAGGTTTGCTACTAGTTATGGGTAAAATCGTCGAGAAAATGACTATCAGAAGAATAAGGTGGCACATCCAACTTGGGGGGAGTACTCGCCAATACGGCTTCACGCCACAGAAAAGCACCGAAGATTCCCTCTATGACATGATGGAGTATATAAGAACACAAATACAAAATAAAAAAATAATTATCATTGTAGCACTAGACATAGAGGGAGCCTTCGATAGTGTATGGTGGCCGGCCATCAGATACCGATGGCTGACGAAAAATGCCCTATTAATATAAGAAGGTCCATCCATCAGGATAGTTATCTGCAGAGCTAACTGGTGTAGAGCACAACCAGGACACTTCATAGGGGTGCGTACAGGGTTCCCTGGGGGGACCGGTACTATGGAATTTGCTTCTTGATCCTTTGCTTAACGATTTGGAAGCAAGAGGCGACTGGTGTCAGGCTTTCGCCGACGATATCGTCCTTCTGTTTGCGGGAGACACGGTACTTGAAATCCAGAGGCGTGCAAATACTTTCGAGCATGTTCGGACGCGGGGAATTCGTAATAAACTGAACTTTGCGCCACATAAGACCAAGGCTATGTTAATTACTAATAAGTTAAAATACGATTCAACACGTTTGAGCATGGGAGGGATAGACATTGGCATGTCGAAGGAGATCAAAGTTCTCGGTCTCACCGTCAACAGGAAACTCACATTTAAAAGCCATGTAAAAAATGTGTGCAGGAAGGCCACAGCTCTTTACGAACAATTATCAAGAGCTGCCAAAATCAGTTGGGGCCTTCAACCCGAAATCATAAGGACGATATACGTGGCGGTTACTGAACCGGTTGTCTTGTATGCAGCGAGAGCGTGCGCACCAGCCGTCAGCAAACTGGGAGTCCGAAGGCTTTTCAATTCCGTGCAAAGAGGATTCGCTCAGAAAATTATTAAAGCATACCGTACCCGTTTCTCTACACTCGGCGCTAGCGCTGGCGGGTCTGCTTCCTCTGGACCTAAGAATCCAGGAATCAGCATCCCTCTTTAGAGCAAAGTGAGAAAAGCTCCGGCCGGTTCTGGAGGACCGAGTGGTGGAGACAAGGGCGAAACTTACCAAACTGCCCCACCCAGAATCTTATATGGACTTGGAACTCGTATGCCTGGTAAACGAAAACGTAACGACACTCAATAACACCCAGAGTCTCCGAATGTTTAACGACGGGAGCAAATAGAGGGAAAGGCCGGAGCAGCACTTTCCATTTGGAATAGTGCAGCTGAGATCTGAACTCTAAAGCTTAAACTTTCGGACTACTATACCGTCTACCAGGCTGAATTGCTGGCCATATATAGGGCAACTGAGGTGAATCCTTAACAGCGTTGAAGTAAGCTTTGGCGTTTAGATCGGCACTTGAGACCATTGTGAACCTAGACTCCCAGCATTCCTTAGCAGTAAAGGCCCGCAAAAAAATACATACCATCATGGAGCAACAAAAAACTATCCAACTTTTTTTGATAATAGCCCATGCGGGCAGGGAATGAACATGCTGACGAATTGGCTAAACTCGCTGCTATAAGAATAAAATGTAAAACGGACTACGACCTATGCCCGGTCTCCTACATAAAAAGTGTAATCCGTAAAGACTCTATTGAAAAATGGAATCACAGGTACCTAGAGGGTGAAACGGGTCAAATCACTAAAAAATTCTTCCCAAGTGTCAGAGACGCCTACAAAGTGATTAAGGCGACAGCACCGTCTCCAATAATGATACAAGCGATGACCGGGCATGGTGGGTTCTCCGAGTATCTGTACCGATTCCGATGCAAGGAGAACCCTTCATGCGTCTGTGAGCCAGGAGTTGAGGAGACAGTGCTGCATGTACTTCTGAGTGTCCCAGGTTCAGCAAACAAAGGTACGATTTTGAGACGTCGACAGGATCAAGACTCGAAGAAGAGAAGTTATATTTATTATTAGATAGTAAAATCACTCGAAGTAAGTTGATTAAATTCTGCGAAGAAATAATTAATGGGGTCGTGAAAAATAACCGAAAGTAAATGACATTTTTAAAGTTTTATACAATTTTATGTATTATAAACACTTATGTAAATAATAATTAAAAAGGGTAATAACAATTAAAAAATTTCAATTCAATATACCTATTATTTTATATCAAATGTAATGTAATGTTAGTTTTTTTTTCTCTTTAAAAAAACGTTACCCCCACACTAGGATTTTCTCCTGTATCGTGGAGGCAGTTTACAAACACAAATTTCACAAGGACAAACATCCAGACCCGGAACAATCATTTGTAGGCCATACAAATACTTGTTCCGTGCGGGATTCGAACCCGCGCCCCCCAGCGCAGCAACTCATTGCTAAGCCACTGCGCCATGGAGCCGTCAAGTTAGTTGTAAATGTAGTTAACAAATTAATGTCAATAATTTAGTGTCACCAAAATAAACTTGGGGCGAGAATGGCAAATCCAAGATTACCACTCGGTGCTTCCTTGTGAATATACCAAGTATATTCAGAGAGAATGAACTGATTGTAACATAAATTGAATATGTGAGAATTATGTGGTGATTAATGATTAAATTTAAATGTATAAATTACAAAAACGTACTTCCAAATTATAGATAGAAAATGATTCTGATGTCTATGTCAGAGGGCTGCAAAAATAAAAAACCCGACGTGCTGGTCGCACGCTACTGGTTTCGTTTAGATTTTGGAAACTGTGCTATGCTACGGTAAAATAAATGATCAAACATACAAATCGCCTAAGAAGTAGAAAAGATTTAAGAAAAAACATCAACATTTCTGTAAATACACCGAATAATTTGTGATATAATATTTATATCGAATTTATGTATTATGTGTTGTGTTACAAATTCTCGGACATATCATTCACTAGATTGTGCGATAACTATTTAGTCTAATTCATGTAAAGTATTAAGGGAACTGTCCATTATCAGTATTAAATTAAGATGATAAATATATTGATGAGTATATAATGTATGAGATGAGTTTGTATTTTTGGGATGTGTGTTTAGCAGGGATGGTAGATATGATAAGGATATAGAATGACGAGTGAATGCAGGAAATAGAGTGAATGGGGCTCTACACTCTATTGTGAAAAGTCAGAATGTGTCCAAAAAGGCACGTATGGCAATTCACAATGCTGTGTTAGTACCTACTTTAATGTATGGTAGTGAAAGTTGGGTGTGGCAGAAGAAGCATGAGAGTAGAATAAATGCTGTAGAAATGCGGTCATTAAGGAGTATGTTAGGGATGAAGCTGAATGACAGAGTGAGAAATTGTTTAATAAGAGAAGAGTGTGGTTTGCAAGATGATGTTGTGACCAGGATTAAGAAAGGAATGCTTCGGTGGTTTGGCCATGTAGAAAGAATGAATGAGGAAAGAGTGACAAAGCAAATTTATGTTGCAGAGGTGAACGGCATAGTCGGGAAGGGTCGCCCTAGGCGAAAGTTTATCGACCAAATTGGCGATATATTAAAAATGGGCCAAATCAAGAGTACCTTTAACCGACGAGCGTGTATGCGTAGGTATATGGATGTGGAGGAAGCGAGAGAGGTGTGTCAGGATCGTGCCAAATGGAAGTCCATAATCTCTGCCTACCCCTCTGGGTGACAGGCGTGAGTGTTTATGTATGTATGTATGTAAATTAAGATTCTTTATATTTAATTTGCAATACGTGTCTTAATTCTATTTACGTTTTTAAGGTTTAGGAGTACTTTTGTGATATGTTTGGGCATAATGTGAATACTGAGATATTGATACTGAGATAAATGAAGACATGGCTCAAAAAACAAGTATCGATGATCGAGATGAATACTGACAGCTACAGCAGCTTCCTGTTTATGACAGTTATCTTTGACAACTTTGACAGGAGCTGCCAGCTACTTCAGGATTCAGCGCAAAACGTAAAGCCCATACCTAAACAAAACAAATTGTTGCGCCCAGGTTATTACGATTCCTATAGCAGAATACTTGACAGTAAAATATTCTTATTTTGGGTTTAAATTTTAGTTACAATGCTATCTAGGGAGACAATATGAAGAAGGAACGGACAGGCGACAATTGTCGCCCGTTTAAATTATAAGTATTCATTGTATTTGTTGTGTTATATTATTTTTTACTAATAATTACTGATATCATAATATTTTATTTTACAGCTCATCAAATTTTAAGTTTGACTGGTATTAGTTTCGAAAGACGGAGTATAATTGTAAGTTAAACATCTGATTTACAGTTACCATAACATTTCTTTTTAAGTGTTGTATAATACTGATGTGATTTTAGGGTTTTGTGGAATTAACAATCGTGCCACTTAAAGATAATCTAAGATTTATTCGCTTAAATGCAAAGCAATGCCGTATTTATCGAGTTTGCTTAAATGACCAGTATGAAGCCAACTTTCAGTACTGTGATCCTTTTCTGGATATATGTCAACCAGA